AAATTCTCCACCTGCTCTAACTTCTCTGAAACAACAATCTGTAAGTCCCTCTCCTCCACGACTTGTTGACCCTTCCTCTATCCCTCAAGAACTTGACTTCTCTAAATATCTCCTTACTAGCTAGCCCCCAGCCTTACCCTTCACTCAACCCAAACGCTCAACATCCTCACGAAGAATAATTATAACCAGCACCCCTCAACGAACACATACAATGCAGCTGCGTCACATGCCACCTTCCTCCAATCTTGCATCTCATTGCCTCACAATCAACACCTCCTCTCCAACCACTAAACCTTCCAACTATATTGAAGCAACAAAATTCAAAGAATGGCGTGCTGCTATGTCTGATGAAATGACAACCTTGTTTCGAAATCAAAACTTGGTCGTTGTTTCCTTTCCAATCCTCCATGAATATACTTGGGTGTAAATGGGTTTTTTCCTATTAAACGCAATGCTGCTGGAGCTATTGAGTGCTATAAAGCTCACCTTGTTGCCAAAGGATTTCATCAAGTATAAAGGCAAGATTATCATGAGACATTTGGTCCGGTGGTGAAACCCACTACCATTCGCCTTATCTTGACAGTGGCAGTATCTCGTGGTTGGTCTTTGCGCCAATTGAATGTTCAAAATGCCTTCTTGCATGGAGGCTTCACTTTGATGGACGTTTGTTGAGGAACAAAAATTCTTCAATTTGATGGACGTTTGTTGATTGTATATAATATACATTTCATGATTTAACCAGAAGTTGCATGCGACATGCTAACCTTAATTTCCTTTGGAATAATCAATATACACTCCCTGGTAATTTATAAACCTAGATTATTTTTTTTTTTTTTTTTTGGTAATTAAATATATTATTTACAAAAGGGAAAGTACTTACAAGTATAATTGAACCATGTATCGGACAGAAAGCCTCAACCTCAGTCCAAGACCAGTACGTGATCAATACTAACTTCAATTACTACTATGCCTAGTCAGAATACATCTATGGGTAATAGTTAAGTCGCTGCACATATCTGGCTAGCTTTGGCCTCAAGTTTCCTCTACAGTATATAAAAAGGGCAGCACAAGGGTTTATTGTACGCAAGCTTACCCTGTATTTCTGCAAGAGGCTGTTTCCACAGCACATGGCAGCAACTTTACCAATTACGCCAAGGCTCCCCTTCAAGTTTCCTCTACAATATATCTCTTATACAATAAGCTTATCTCTCCATCCCTGCGCAGTTCTATTAATGCCCTGGTATATCAGTAACCTCCTCCAAATATTTGTTGAATAGCTAGCTGCATTGAAAGAATAGGTGTTGGTTAGTCAACTGCCTATGAGCCCCCACCCCCACCAAGAAAGAGCATTATGTGCTTGCACATGACAGTTGCATAAAATTGTAATCACTGATTACAGTTTGGACTGCATTGTATGCCCCATATGAACAACCATTTAGCGCTTCCTTGATTATTGCATAACAGTCTCCTTCAAATAGTTTCTAATAGAATAGCTATCAGCATTCAGAGTTTCTTCAATACTTATGTCAGCTTCAGTTAAGTAGTTTGAGGCCCGTATAATCTTCTGAATCACCCATGAGGCTTGTTTGACGTTGGCAGCCACATTTTCCACTTCTCTTTCTTTCATGTAGTATGTGTGAACCCATTGTATTCACAACCTATCTTTCTTCTTGTTTAGGTTCCACTGATGCTTAAGTATTGTTGCTTTGTTCCAGGTGTGAAGGTTAATTATATTCAATACCCCTGCTGATTTTGGTCAGCACAATTTATCCCATGCTACCAAGGCCTTTCTTTTTCCCTGCTGATTTCCCTGTCCACAGAAACCTTTTGCATCTTTAAATTATCTTCTTTGGTACCAAAATGATTTTATAGCTAACAAAATACTTTTCTGGATGATTTTCTGTACACAATTTTTGTTTGATTTGCAGTTAAACATGAAGCCTTAGAAAACTATTGGAAGCAATCATGTAATAGCTGAACGGATCCTACATCACCTCTACAAAATAGCAGCAAGTCATCTGCAAAACAGAGTTGAATTATGTTTAACTTCTCACACCTGGGATGATAGTTAAAATCTGATTTGTTCTATAGTTTGAGGTGCTACTTGTTGTTTGTTTGTCTTCTGGCAATTATGTCTCACTTGTAAGCAAAGTTAGATAATAGATAGGCTTCCAATCATACCATACCATACTTCTTGATCAAACAGCTTCCCTGTTGGATCCTTCACTTTAGTACTATGTGACAGATATCTGGTTATGTCAACTTCCACCAAAATCCTGGCAAATGATATCCAGAAAGGTTAAGTAGCTTAATCCAAAGAGGTACTGTCTTCAAAACTTCATCATTGAAATTGAATTTTGAAGTCCATGGTTTAATGATAACTGATGTGGTGTTCAAATTATGAGACATCACAGCTGAATCTGATCACGAAATAGCCATCATTATACAGATAGGCCAGTGACTTAATCGAAACATACGCATGTGCAGCGATGAATCTTTCTCTTGTTTCAATGGTTGGAGTTCGCCCTACCACGTATAGGATGATAATCATTTCCAGTAGCGACATCTTCATGCTCCAATTCCCACTATTTCATGCTCTCGGAAAAAAATTGAGATTCATACCTTTACCTGCCATTTTGTTTCCATCAAACACATTAGCCCATGCCTTTGCTCCAATTGCAATTTACTTTGTGTGCCTATATAGGGTAAAATATGATATGACACGTGGTTGACTAAAAGGAGGACACATGGAATCCAAGATGGGATGGTTGGGGACTGAACGCAGCCACTACACTTGTCACCGGAACGGATGACGTTCATAAAAGTGTATTATAAGCTCTGCGCCCGGTAGCATTTACCAAGGAATATTCTACAACATTAAGAGCGACGATCCGTTATAGAGAATTTGGCATTTATACTCAACGTTACATCTCAATCAATGACCCTCATAATTGGCATTAAAGGAGGGCAAGATCCTGGAACCTTTTTCCCTAGGCATAGCTATAAATAATGAGCTCAGTTACCATTGTAAATGACACAAAATTTTTGGCAAGAACATATATTATATTCTATACAAAACTTTATACAAATTCACTCTCTTGCTTTTTGATCCCAACATTGGTGTGTTCGGAAACCGTGTTCACAGAATCATTATCTTTGTTATTTCATCTACATTCCAAGGCTAAGTACTGTGTATTTCTTCGATTATTATATTATTTCAAGATCAAATTAGTTTACTTGTCTAAAAATCACATATAAATTCAACTGTACTATTTTACGGATAACAGTTTGGCGTCCACCGTGGGTCCTAGACAGCCGTGCAATTAAATTGATCCTTGCCTCTTTTACTAACGTGCTTTGACTATTTTTGTCTTTGAAAAAATCGCAAAAAATGGAAGATAAAATTGTTAACGATGCACACAACCCCGAAATTCGAAGGGATCAACCTTATTTCGAGGACTCAATCAGTGACACCCGCAATGAGGGGAATGACGCTATGCCCGTGCATGACAGACGGTACCCTCGACAGGTTCGGGAAAGAACTCCCGATGATGCTGACAAGGAGAAAGTAGCGGATGATGTGAGGATCCTACAAGAGCAACAGGCAATCATTCTAGGTCATCTCACACGGCAGGATCAGGTTATGACGAAACTGAAGCAGGCGCTATCAGGTGCTTCGAATAATGCGAACAGGCGTGATCTTATTCCTCCTGTTGTTCCCACAGACCAAACAACACAGAGAATTGATAACAACACTCCCATGGGTGAAGTCGGCTCCGATGGGGTTGGGGGAGGAGGCCAGGTCTTAACAATGAGAACGATTCATTTAAAGATGAGCTTTTACGGTTCATGAGGGAAGTAAACACCCGCATGGATCAAATTCCCACGAGTATTGAAAGGCCCGAACTCGAAGAAGTATGTTCAATTATCATACAAGCCAAGCGCGACACCAGTACTAATCCCGAAGCATTTCAAAATGCCTGAAGTTTTAAAGTATGATGGAACTTCAGACCCATAGGAACATATTATCAACTACACAATGACGATGAAAGGAAATGCTCTAGCTCCTCACGAAAATGAATCTGTGTTGCTAAAGAAATTCGGCGAAACTCTCACGAGGGGAGCCCTAACGTGGTATTCGTTACTACCCGAGCATTCCATAGATTCCTTTGAGATGCTCGTGGATTCTTTCATTAAAGCTCATACCGGGGCCAGAAAGGTACAAGCTCGGAAGGCAGACATATTATGAATCGCACAAGGAGAATCAGAATTATTATGACAGTTTGTTACACGATTCCAGAAAGAAAGAATGTTGTTCCAGCCGTCCCGGATGAATGGGCAGCTGAAGCATTCACCAATGGATTGAATCCGAGAGGTTTAGACGCTACCCGGAAGCTGAAGGAGAGACTGCTTGAGTTTCAAGCAACAACCTGGGCAGATGTTCACAACTGGTATGAGTCGAAGATAAGGATCGAAGAATAGAGAAAACCCAAAGGATGACTACGACGCGGATAGGCGGACTTCAAGGGGTTGATTTTTACCCTACGAGAGTACCGAAGGCCGTGGCAGAAATTTCTGAGCAGCAAACAAGTTCACCGTTGACGGAGGGACTGATCGTGTTTGAAGCAATAGATCACTTCAAGATAAACAAACATCGGAGTCTCTATATCTTTCTTACCTTAGGTTATCAGAATATAACTTCAACGTCAGGGTAGTGGAACTGGTGTCAGCCATGAGAAACATTAAAAAAGCACGAGTCCCGAGACCTATGAGGTCCGATTCAAGCTAGAGGGATCCTAATTTATGGTGCAAATACCACGGAACGAACAGTCACCGGACAGAGGACTACCGACATCTTCGCGGGGGAGGTGGCAACACTATTGAAGAATGGCCATATCTGAGAATTCTTGAGTGATCGAGCTAAGAATAATAACGGTCGCAACAGAGACAACACGAAATCCTCGAAAGCGGGAGAAAAAACCGCACGCCAAATGATCAACATGATCTTTGGGGGGAACGAGATTAACAAGGTCACCTTTTCTGCGGCAAAGAAGACTAAAGTATCGATACCTCACCGCAAAAGACTCTGGCAGGACGATATCACTTTCACAGAGGAAGACGCAGACGGATTGATGTTACCACACAACGACGTACTGGTAATCTCATTAAATGTGTTAGATTTTAAAATTAAGCGTGTTCTAGTGGATTTAGGAAGTTCGTCTAATATCATACATTGGAGGGTATTGGAACAAGCTAAACTCACCGGAAGCATTATTCCGGCAACAAAACTCCTCACTGGATTCAACCTTGCGAGCGTGACGACCCGGGGAGAGATCCTGCTGCCTATGAGCGCCGAAGAAGTAATGAAAATAACTCTCTTAGAAGTAGTGGATAGTGATATGGGATACAACATCATCTTGGGAAGGCCATGGATACACGAGATGAAAGCTATACCTTCGATGTATCACCAATTACTGAAGTTTCCAACACCGGAAGGAATCAAGCAGATAAGAGGTGACCAATCGGCAACAAGGGAGATGAATGTAATCCCGGTTTCCATTAGCAAAGGGAAGGAGCGCACGGCATAGAAATTACAGGAATTGGCACCTACTCCCGAGTTAGAAGAGGTTATTCCAAATGCAGAATCGTCAGAACAATATCAGGTGCCGAGATATTTTCAAGTACCAGAAGAAACGGACGCAACGAAATCCATGGCAGAGGAACTAGAGTAAGTGGCATTGTTTGAAAAATTCTAAGAAAGAAAATTTCACTTGGGGGCAGGACTGCATCCCGAGCTCAGGTCTGGATTAATTTAGTTCCTTAAAATTAACGTTGATTGTTTTGCATGGTCGCACGAGGATATGACAGGTATCCCGACGGAAATAGCCATGCACAACCTGAGTTTGAATCCCAACGTACCACCGGTACGGCAGAAGAAGCACCCTATTGCCGAGGCGAGGAATAAATTTGTCAAAGATAAGGTAACCCGCTTGCTTAAAATTGGTTCGGTCAGAGAGGTAAGATATCCAGACTGGCTAGCCAATGTAGTAGTAGTTCCTAAGAAGAACAATAAATTTTATATGTGTATAGACTATAAAAATCTTAATAAAGCGTGTTTGGATGGTTGTTACTCATCGTATCGTATTGTATTGTTATCCTAAAATAAATGTTTGTTTTGATTGTTTCATTAAAATTGATTATATTGTATTGTTAAATCTATTGTTTCGGAACAATAAAAAGTCACATTTTTTTAAACAACTAATTTGGTGTGGTAGGATTCTTTTCAGTTTTTCTTTCCAATTATGCCCTAACGTATTACTCCATAATTCTATTTTACCCTTTACCTTTTTTTAAAAATTTTAACTCCAAATCTCCCACCTATAACCTACTTTGTCTTCGTCCCTTTTTTTTCATAACTTATGTCGCTTCCAACTCCAATGTAAAATTGCTAATTTTGTTAGAATTTGCATGAATTTAATTGCTTAATCTATTTATAAGACATATTTGGTGATAAATTAGTAGAAAGGGGTTTTTAAAAATTATTTTATGCGTAATTCTTGATAAATTTAATATTTAAACAATTGAGGGTATTTTAGTAAATTTATCAGTTACAGTACAGTACGATACAGTCAAACCAAACATCGAAATGTTATTTAACAACAACAAACAATACAATATATCCAAACATTGTATTTATATAACGATACAATACAATACATTATAAAACGATGTTCGGTGCTTTTGTCAATATCGTCTTGCTCCGCATGGTTACAGGCGTAATTCCACTACTTGCTATGCTTTTACTTCCCTCAGCACGAAAGGGAAGCGCTGGCCAAATCTCCCACGTTGGGTTGATGTGCTCTTTGTCTCGGCAATTTGTCAACCGGCATTACTTGCGCCTTTGGTGTTATGGTTTTTGCTCAAATCACTAACCTTTTTGGGGTTATTGCAATCCGTATTCCGGAACAGCTTCCTTCTACTTCTTTAATCTCATCATTCTGATCTTGGATCAGAGTTTTTCGTGCATTTCCCGCGAGGCATAAGTTACGCCTTGTGATTTTACTCCGTGTGTTATAGTTTTATTCCAGTTTTGATTCATGTGTTATTCGATTATGTATAATTAACCTTCAATAAATAGGAACATGCAATTTTAATCCTTCAAACTAATGAAAGTTGTTCGGAGGGCTAGCCGCCGTTGACCGGCATCGATGATGAGATTGTCATCATCATTAACTGATCCGCTCCAAAGCAAATCATAATTAAATTGGTCCAGAATATTATCTTCCCCGCCCTTCTCTCTCTCCATTTCCCTCTGTTTTATGGGTTTTCTTCAAAATCTATATTCATTTAGACTTTGTCTTCTTGCTCTATCAAATTTCTGACTTGCATCTACGCCTCACTCGACCTCTAGCAAGAAGATAACGATTGAAGTTGGTAAAGCACCGCCCATTTTTACCTTGAGTCAATGACCCTTAAAGCATTTAGCCTTAAATCGTAGCCCCACACTTCATTTTTATTTTTATTTTCTCTTTTCATATTTATTTTTAATTAATGATCCCTTTAAGTTTTTAACTTCAGCGATCGCACGTTCATATTAATTGAAGGTTAATTATGCTTAGTCGAATTACACATGAATCAAACTAGAATAAACATATAAAATGGCTAAAACCACAATAGTACTAAACTAATTGATCTGAAGGTTTCAGTTTCTTAAATAAAAAGGAATTTTGACCAAAGATATCATATAGACTACAAAATTAGCCGAAAAGGATAATGTTAAAAATAAAACAAGAGGTAACTCAACTTAGCTCCAAGCTATCCATCTACACAACTTATTCAAGTTATATCATCCTTGATTCTAAAAACTACATTATGGCATACATAGAAAATCAAATGACCCCACTAGCCCCACGCCCAAAATATTTTGGAAAAAAATAGAACTACCAGAAAAAGAGGAACCATTTTCCCACTTCCGTTATCTTCTTTCCTTCTCAATGACTAAAAAGCATCAATCCTGTAAGAAAACTCTGAGAAAACTCATTGTCCGTTATAACCATTTTCATACTGTAAGGAACCATCAGATATCCTTCAGATCACTCCAACCTGAGTTAAATAGCTTATGCCCCAAAGCTGGGTCAGATTCTACAACATTAAAAAAGTAAATGACAGAGTTCATACCAATGGCCAAGATTACAATATCAATACAAGGTAAAGAGATCAATCCTAGACTTTAGTGCACACACCAAAGTGCATAGTGAGCAACACTATAGTCAAATCCAAATGTAAGTTGATTTATGAAGAAATGCCTATCATTAGGGAGAAATCTGTACCTAAGACAAGAAGCAATAGCCCAAATGCATGTTTGCATCAGTAATCTCAATGAGATAACAGACAGTGTTAAAGGATGACTGCTTTAAAGGGAGGGAGGGGGCACCATTAACCAGCAAACCATTTGGCAGGACCCTGAAGTAATGGTCGCATCTGTTACTGCTTGACTGCAGGCTGCAGCAAACTGTGAACCTATTCTCCACCGCAGAAGTCCTATTACCATGAAGTTTTGAGAAAAATAGCACATTATGACCTAAACATACAATTGAAAGGATATATTGTCTCCATTACTTGGACTAAGAGGCACACTCACATAAGAAGCCTGGCAGAAAGTGCATTTCCATCTGCAGATAGACCGAGAATCACATTAAAATCATTATTTGAGTTCTTCAATATAGAAAAAGTAGCACAAAGAAGGAAGAACCTTAACAAACAAATGCAGACACATTGTCAAATATTTCTCACAAATAACCAACCATATTCATATAAAAAATGCCGCATTCCAAATTCCTGAGACATGCAATTGTGAACTTTTATTGCTTTTACATCTATTTTCTATTTCTTACGATGTTGATATTATTTTTCAGGCTTCTGTTGCTGTCACTGATCTATTGTCCATTGTTTATTTTCTTCTTCTTGAGCCGAGGGTCTTTCAGAAACAGCTTCTCTACCCCTTCGGGGTAGGGGTAAGGTCTGCGTACACTCTGCCCTCCCCAGACCCCACTTGTGGGATTTTACTGGGTTCTTGTTGTTGTTGTTGTATGCAATTGTGAACTTAAAAACTTCCCAAATTGGACCATGATAGCAATGCTCATCCACAATCCAGCCATAGAACCTTCCGCATGAAAGCAAAGCCCTTACTAAAATCTTAACCTATAGGCTATAAGCTTCATCACTATCCACTCTTCATTATATCACAGTACCTCTTAACACCACAAAAAAATGAAACTACAAAATGAGCAAACTGTAGAGGGAAATAAATGTCCTTTACCAATACCATTTGTTATCTCTACAACGAGGCAATTTCTTTGAAGTTAATGAAACGTTTATCTGATGAAAACTTATTTTCCATTTTTCAGTAATATTACATTTAACTAAGCGCTCAAATTTGTTTGGGTATCTCAATAATTTTGATTGGTTAAGAACAGTTCAAACACCACTTACAAGAGCCAGTGGAAGTGCTTTTAATAAAGATAAAAAGGATTACCAGCAATAATTCAACATCTAGCTACAGGATCAAAGGGAATAGGGCTTAAACCTATCATTCCATCTTCCAAAATACAAACTTTCCTTGATGCTTAGTCAATCAAAATATGAATAAAACGTACCCTGTAATAAGTATGTGTATTACTTATCAAGAAGAAAAAAACCCGATAAAAGTATTATATTATATATAAATGGTAATATTAGGAGCAAAACAATTGTCCAGGCAAATTCTAAAGGTACCATTTCGCATCATGTGAATACTAGTAGTATCATATAAATGGTAAGTATCTATACCGTTAAAGGGGGTAAGAACAAACACAAGTATCACTGTTATCAAAGGCGAAAAGCTCTAAAAAACGCTTTAGGTCCATTGGGCTTTAATGGCAAAGCGCAATTTAAGTGTAGGCTTTAGTTATAAAAGGCGCAATGCAAGAAAAAATTTAAAAATATATATGTAATTCAAGAGAAAAGTAACAAACTCATTCACATTGTTTTCCTTAACAACTAATATACTTATTTGCCGATTATATTTGTAGTCTAGTATTGCTCTATTTAAGATAGAACTCATGGGCAATAAGGGGCACATCTTGCTTAAGTGAGGCAAAGCACCCTCCTTGAGCTTTTCTGAGCTTCAGGGCTTAAGTGCGCCTTGAATGAACCTTTGACAACACTGACCAGTATCCATGAAACAAACTCAAAAACCAGTAGCAACTTAATCCTTACATGAGTTACTTCACAACCGATGGCAACCAGGTATCGCTTACTACCATCTTCCTACTACTTCCTGAAGATGGCAAAAAACTGTATCTTGTATTGGAGAGCAACCCAGCCAACTAGTCACCCATTAGGATGGGTTCAATAAAACATTATTTTATGATGCATTAGAAATATATTATCTATCAAAAAAATTAATGTGAGTGGGAAGCAGGTATTTGATGTGTTTTCGATGTTCCTGCCACCTCTATTATTTCGCTACTACGAAAGTTAACTCCTAATCGACCATGTTATGTTAATATTCTTCTCTTCTAGTTTCTCTTCATTAAGCGCAGAAAACCGACTCTCATCGAACTAAGAAAGTAATTGAGGTTTTGTTAAAAAGCAATGCAATAAATACAGTAGGAGTTAATAGGGCTAAATATGTACAAACCTTAATACAATTCTTAATATTTGTACCTCAATAGACTGTCCAAATTGCAAATAATTTCCAGGAAAATACACTTGGATTATGGTAATGTAACCATTATAATCTCTTTATGTGTCACGGTAAAAGCTTGAAACCCTTGTACAGAATAGACTCAGCTTACCAAACTGCCAATTGGGGCAAAAGACGTTAGCTAAATCTTATCAAAACAAGCAAGCTCAGGCAAAGACAACTAACAGGAGCTCCATCCTTCCTTACCTTATTCAGTGCTTTTCCAGCAACTGCAGCGGGATGGTCTCCTGGGTTGGGGGTTTGGGAGGGTAAGTTTTACCGTATCAGAAAAAAACAATAACAAGACTAACACAGGTGTCTCTTTTATATTTTGCTTGGCAACTAGATAAAAAGAAAATCAATATTGTGAAACAACTTACTAAGGTATAGCTTGCCACTGGCACATTAAAGATACTCCTCCCCTGCCCCCAACCAAACTTTGCCAATTTCGGGCCATGTTAAGAAGGCCATAGTAGCACTAAGCATCACGGAATGCCAAAGCTCAAGAAAATATAAGAGTGCTGTATCAACCTGACACCCAAAGCTCTACATAAGACTAAAATTTCTTTTTTCTGTATCTCTTTCTTATTGGTTTACATTTTTCTCCACTAGGTGAAGATTATACAATTTTTCTACTTACCTCGGACTTCTATGCGTCCATCACTAAACAGTAAATGCTACACCATGGATTCTGGAATATTTTGCAATAACCCATTGAATAACTTCAACCAACCATCTTAATGTTAAACAAAGATAACCATAAAGGGCAGTTGACCAAATTTTAGAGAATGTAAACCCAATATGGGTTAATAACTTACTAGGAAAATATGAATGACTGACAAGCATCCACCATTGTGAAATTTAGTTCAAATCTTAAACACGATTGAGATTCTTGACTATCGATGAATTTACATATCTCAATCTCAACCTGCATACATGTAATTACACTTAAGGGCATCAGTTTGTTTCAGTTTAATTTGTGTGGAAATTGTATAAGTACGCATAACCAGAGCATCAATCTTGCTATGCATTCTTAATTCCACTAATGCACAAAAAATGGATTAATTCCATGACTATCATATCTTTTGCACACTCTTCCTAATTTCCCACCAAAATCCGCGAGTAACCATTTCCCAGACACTTAATCTTTCTAAACAATTTTTTTCGTGAACATGGCATAAGGACAAAGACCGTGCAAAGCTACAATGAAGGGATTTTTAAAAGAAAAGCTTTTCGGACGGGGATATTATCTACAGATGCACTTCCAGATTATCTAACTTATTTAGAAGGGGTAAAAAAATTGAAGCTTGAAAAACCCCATGAGTCCGACACTTTGTAATAATGTATATCATGCCTTATTAAAAGCTTAAACAGTTAAACATGCACATGTTATACACTTGCAATAAGAAACAGAATTCACTAATACAGTCGATTTTCACTGAATAACACTGTTTTGAATTTCTCTCCTTCATCTCAATTCTTCAACTAATCCAAAACAATGTCATTGAGTGCCATATAGCTAGCTTTTGGGATTAAGTTAGGCCCAAGTTCCATTTTCTTATTACTGCTTTGCTACACTATTGTCCCTAACCAAACAAGTAAGAGTTCACTACTCATTATTTGACGGATAACATCATAATTCCATTAAGAAGCTCAACCAAACACTAAATATACATAAATCAACTCTCTAATACTTAAAATTTCAAAACTAACCTCCCCCCCCCCCCCTCCTTACACACACAAATAAAAAGTGGAACAAAACTCTTCGTTTATAGAGACAATAAGAACAAAAACCTGGGAAAATTAGCGGTTGCACTCAGCAGGCAAGGGCCTATTGAAGCCACCACGCCTATTCATGTACTGTCGAGGCTGCCGTTTAGTGACTTTCCTTACAGCACCCACATCATTCCCTGCCACTGCCTTCCCCTTTGTCGAATCAAACCCTACCGGTATCCCCAATTTCTTCATCATCTCAATCTCTTCATCATCCATCATCTCTTCATCACGACTCTCCTCCTCCTCCTTCTTCTTCTGCTTCTTCTGTTCTTTCGCTATCCCGTCAACAAAATCCTCAACCTCTCTCCGCGTATCTCTATCCCTATCCTTATCTCGATCGCCATCATCTTTTCGTCTCTTTCTAGGAGGACTTTCCGCTGAGGGACGGTGGTGACGGTGGCGGTTGCGGCGGTCAGTGGGAGAGCGGGAGCGGGAAGTAGAACGGTGGCGGTGGCGGTGACGGTCAGTGGAAGGGGAACGAGTTCGGGAGCGAGTGTGTCGACTGGTTCTGATATGGTCAGGGGTGTAAGAACGTTCACGGTCTCTCCGGTCACGGTCATCCCGGTCACGTTTCCGATCTCTGTCTCCATCCTTGTCCCTCTCTCGCTCTCTCTCCCGGTCAATTTCACGGTCATGGTATCGAGTTCTGTCACGGTCGGTCATCGTCACGTTAAGGGAAGGAGAGTAGAAGGGTTTTGAAGTTTGAACAAAGAGACAGTGATATTGTTTTCCTCAGAAAAAGGATTTAGGAGAAACGCAATCCCGGTTTTGCGCTATTTACTCTTTTTCTTTATTTTCTCTTTTACTCCCTTTTTATTTTGTTTTGTCATTTTGTATCTTCGAGTTTTACAAATAATCGTATAATTATAAGGGTTTTTTCACAAAACTTACACAACTTTATTTCATCACTTAAAAATCACAACACTACACATTAATAATACAATGGTCACAATATCTGAAATATATAACTTCCGGAAAGCGTTTTTATTTTTAGTGTTGCCTTTTTCACATTTCTTAAATAAAATATTGTTGAAAAATTAAATAAATAGAGATTTTTTTCATCAAATAAATAGAGATCCACTAATAAGTTTTTGGCTGGATTATGTATATATACTTTATCAGGAAGAATTTTACAATCAAGAAACTAAAGTTATATATTATCACCATTATTAGGTCTTATGCTTAATAATAATAATAATAATAATAATAATAATAATAATAATAATAATAATAATAATAATAATAATATGAGATAGATCTGAAGTATTCGGCATAGATATGTTATTTTTTGTTATGAATTTAGGAAAAACTAGTATGAAAAATATTAGACTTGAAGAGGTAGATATACCTCAAAATCTTGATTTGTTAAACAAATGGACAATTCCTAAAATCCCTATCAAAACAATTTATGATTATGGATGATTTGATAAACTTTCTTCAAAACAACTAGTTCAAACTACTGAGCAATCTTTAGCTTTAAACTCGTCTGAACAGATTATTCGATTGTTAAACAAACAAGATGTAGATTTATATAAAAATCAGTATAATTATATGCATGCTGGTATGGTTCAAATTGCTTTTAAGCCATTAACCCTTAAAGGGTTACCAGAGACGTTTTTGGCTGCTCTTAGAGATGCTAGAAATCTGAATTTTAGACAGTCTCTGATGGGTTCTATTGAATCTACTGTGGCCTGCGGTCCAGTATATTTTAATACTCAACCCAATCTTCAATTATCTCTATCTGATGTTAATATACTTGATGCATTGACATTAAATATGAAAACGCATGGTTATAATTATGCGTCTGGATCTGAACTTATATGTTTATCGTATAGAATTTATTTTAAATTACTATCTACGTTAAACCCTAGATGTAAACTGTATGATACATCCGATCAGACTATATTGGTGGAAACCAATTTTGCAAAGTCTAAGGTCACCACGAGGAGACCTATTAAGTGGGAAGAAATTAATTTCCCAACTACTTGGACTTTGGATTCGGTTATATCCCCAAGTCAGATAACAAATGTTATCAGTAATACTGAATATTCTCATATTACTCAAAATTCGGATGGTAGGATTTGCATTCAATTTGATGATAATAGTTTCACTTATAATAGGCAGTCATTTTCTAATAATAGACTTTTGCCTGCTATTAATCCTAGTGATAGTAGGCATTCATTTACTAATCGTAGATTGTTGCCTGATATTCAACTTATTTCTCCTGTTGAACCAGTCTATGGACCAGCTAGAAATTGTACTGCATCGTTGCATACAATTTCTACTGATGTTAGTGATAAGCCTGTTGAAAGGGTTAAGATTAACCCTCAAACAAATATTGTTCAGGATAATGATAATATTTCTGATAAGGATATTCTTTCTGCATCTGAAATGGATTTCAACCCCAATAATATTTAATGATTCCACATCAAATAGATTTTAGTCCAGGGTCACAAGCTAGAAAATATGTTCAAAAGAATTTTTTTAGTAATAAATGGAACCAGTTTAAAACTTAATTTTTTTAATACTTATAGTAAAGAAGATTTAAATAATATTTCTCAAGAGTTTTACGAAACTTGTGCTTTACATAATCAAATTATATATTTTGTTCCTTGGTTTATAACCACTTATTTACCGCTTTACATAAAGGTTTTAGAAAGATCTTATAAAGATGGGAGTGATAATATTACTAAAGCCATATACCCACCTCAAGCACCTTTTGTTTTACCTAATAATACAGGTATTACGTTTACTGCATTTCAAAAATTTATTGATGAAGATGTTGCCGCAGTCAGCATCGCAGAAATTAATAATTTGATTTCTCAAAATAATTATTTAAGTTTATATGTTAAATTTTTGGGTGAACATATCAGTTTTCTTGATAAAAAACTTGTTGAATTAACAATTTTGATAAAAGGAATGAGTACTAGCAAGAAGGTAACTAATATTGCCTCTACTTCAGGAAGCAAATCAGAAGCTCAAATTGTTCTTACTCATGTTCAAAGACCCCCTGAGATTAAGGATTTTAAATTCAAATCATTAAATGATTTAGAAGAACTTCTTGATAAAAAGTTATCCGGTTTAAATATTAAACCTATTGATTTATCAAAAAAATTTGCTGATAAATTAGATACTACTTCTGATTATAAAGATGTAGTCTGGTCAGAGTTTAATAAACTCAGAGGTTATCCCAGAAAGAATAGTAAGTATGCTGATAAACCCAGAATGCAAACTTATTATTATAATCGCCCTACTCCTCAAGATGTGTTAATGAAGAACGAGATTGGAATCAGACTAATACGTCTTATAGTGATTCCGAAATTTATGAATGGAATCTTGATGGTTTAACTGATAGACAATTGACTATTCTTGTGCATAAAATGCTTATGTATGCAACTATCTGTAAAAGTATAAAAAATACAGATAGAACTATTTGCAAAATAATTATTACAGGTTTTACTGGCCAGCTTCGTGGCTGGTGGAATAATTATTTAAGTACTGAAGAAAAGGCGATGGTTATTAATGCAATAGCCACTGACGAAGGAGTCGATAACTTAGGCATGGCTCTAGTGAAAAATAGAGAAGATGATGTTTACACCCTTGTTCTTACCATATTAGAACATTTCAATGGTAGATTTACTAATCAGAATGAGACTGTACGTACTTTGCTAAATGGCCTTAGATGTAGGACCTTAAGCGAGTTTAGATGGTATAAAGATACTTTTATGAGTAGAGTAAGAAAGAGTAAGAAAAACTCTAAGGGGTAGTTACGGGGAAATTTCGTACAAAGATTATACCTATGAAAAATTGATAGGAGTATGCACACAAGAAGGATTAAACTTGCGTAATGAGTTAAAATTGTCCAGACAGCTTAAGATAAATAAGCTTAAGGAAAAATCACAATTATGAAACTTTTGCACCCAGTTCGGTTTACCCGAGACTTATGCTCATAGCAAGAAAAAGAAAAATAGGTATCATAACCCACACAGTCCTTATAAGAAAAAGAGATCGAGATATAGATCCAAAGAAGAGCGTGATACTAGGAAAGCTCATTGCAAGTCTACTAGATTTACGAAAATAGGTGTAAGCGAGATCTTACTGATATTAAGTGTTATAAATGTGGAAAATTTGGCCATATAGCTCCAAATTGTAAGCTTCAAAAGCTGAAAACCCTAGAACTAGACGATGAGTTACGTGATAAGGTTTATGGTTTGTTATATACTTCTGGATCAGAATCTGATTATAATTCTGAGTCAGAATCTGAAGCTGAAGTCAATTTACTTGATTTATCTGATAATGATAAAAATATTGATAATACTTGTACAACTTGCAAAGGTAATACATGTACTTGTGATGATGATAATTTTATAAATTACAATCTCAATTTCAAGATTTGAACATGAAAACTATTACATTTGATAATGTAATAGAACTTTTAAAAGAAGTTACTGATGATAAACTTCGTGAAAAAATTATAAATTTGGCTGCAAGTTCAAGTTCTAGGTCTTCAAAACCTTTTGAAAAACAAAAGAACGAATTTGAATATTCTGCGCCTTATTCTTTGTCAGAAATTAATAACCGACTTAATAATAAAATTACACCAACCAGAGATGCTTCTTTCGATGATTTAAAGGTTGAAATTGAAAGTTTAAAAAGGGAGATTAAATCTCTTAAACAAAATCAAATGATTTGTGATCACAGGATTACTCAGATAGAGAAAAATAATTCTGTAACTGAGTTTTCTAATGATAAAAACAAAGGTATTTCTGAAAATGATATTGAGGAAGAACCTATTAGACTTGATTCTAAACATGATATATTTTTGGGAATGATGCAAATTGTTACTGCCCATAAATGGTATATCAAATATACTATTCTAATTGATAATAGTTTTTCTATTACAAATATTACTATGATTGATAGTGAAGTTGATGTTAGCTGCATTCAAGAAGGTTTAGTACCTACTAAATATTTTCAAAAAACTACTCATATGGTTAAATTTGCATCAGGACATGCTTTAGATATAAAGTATAAATTACCTAATACGGGTATTTATCAGAATAAAGTCTGCATTCCTCACTTTTTTCTTGGTTAAAAATCAGTTATACCGTCTAATTATACTTGGAATACCTTTTATTAACGCTATTTATTCTTTTACTAGCATAGATTCAAAAGGTTTTACAACTACTTATAAGGATAGAAAGATAAGTTACACTTTTGTTACTGTGATGACCCAAAATATCATCATTAAATTTAATAAGTAATTCTGTGTTCTAAGACCTCGAAAAGTACCATTTATCATTTCTCGACTTGCGTGCGCAGTCCGAAAAAATTTTCGGAAAGTTTTTATGTAAAAAATGGATTAAAATGGGAAATAGAGCTTTAAAACTCAAGTGAGTTGACTTTGGTCAACATTTTGAGCAAACGAATCCGGATCAGTATTTTGAAAATTCCGGTAGCTCCGCATCATGATTTGGGACTTGGGCGTATTCCCGTAATTTAATTTGGAGGTCCCTAGCTCAAGTTATAACCATTTAACGGAACTAGCAATTTAAAGGCTAAATATTTCAAGTTTGACCATGGGGTTGACTTTTTGATATCGGAGCCGGAATCCGATTCTGGAAATTTGAACAGCTCCGTTATGTCATTTATGACTTGTGTGCCAAATTTGAAATCATTCCGGATTCGTTTAATATATTTTGGCACGAGATTTGCAAATTAAAAATTTAAAACTCAAAGTTCGAATCGGGG